CCACTCTCCCACTCACCCACTCACCCACTCACCCACTCACCCACTCACCCACTCACCCACTCACCCACTCACCCACTCACCCACTCACCCACTCACCCACTCACCCACTCACCCACTCACCCACTCACCCACTCACCCACTCACCCACTCACCCACTCACCCCCTCACCCACTCACCCACTCACCCACTCACCCACTCACCCACTCACCCACTCACCCACTCACCCACTCACCCACTCACCCACTCACCCACTCACCCACTCACTCACTCACTCACTCACTCTCTCACCTGTGCACATGGCTTATCATCATCATCATCGTCATCATCATCAACAACATCATCAATATCATAATAATGAGGTTGGTTTTAGAATCTGATATTTCAACATCAAAATAGTTATATCTTTCTTCATCAAATATCAAATAGATTGTTTTATGATGAATAGCTTTATGATATGTTATTGGTGATGGCATGCTATGATGAACATAGCTCTGAACAGGTGTGCTCTGAAGTGGACATGTCAACTCGGGCATCTGAACAACTCACTGAGGTCAGCACAGAAGCACTTGCGATCACCCCACTTCTCACCGCATCCTTCTCATCCGCCTAGCCCCCTCCATCACTCTTATACTTTCTCTTCCCTTCTTGCTTTTCTATGCCCAGTCTAAATCTAGAGAAGTTGGTAACATGTGGGGTTATCCGGTCCTTTAATAGGGTAATATTATACATTGGGATTGTGAAGGAACGTGATGACAACCTGGGTCCAAACTAAAAATCAATTTCTTTCAAAACAAATAGGGAAAACACATGAAGGGACCTATGTATACAGGTTAAGCAGAGAAACAGGATGGCAACAGCACTGCTATACTTGTAAAAATGTTCACCAAGTTTTTCAAGGGAAGCTAGCAGGGCAAAAGAGCTCGCTGGCAGGGACACCAAGCCCGCTATTTTCTGTCATTTGCGCCATGTCGACAAACCTTTGCCAGCTTTGGGCGCCGCAAGTTCGTCAGCACAAGAGCTTTAGCTGAAATCTTGCAAGGGGTGAAGAGGTCTGGTTTGCCAAAGGCAACATCCAAGGACCGCATCAAGAGGGCTAGGGAAAAGGATTTGGCTGACATGGCCAACGAATTTTGCACTTTGGTTACCCATCTTGAGTTTGAGCGTGAAGACCCAAAGGGAAAACCCATTGGCACAGTGCAGCTTCCCTTCGTGAATCCACTGGCTTTCCTCCAGTACATTGTGGGTAATGCTGAGTCGTATGCTCGATACTTTTCAAAGTATCTTGATGGAGCCGGTGAATCGCCAAATGATCCACTGGAGAAACTTAGACTCAAAAGGTTGAAGTTTCTGTTTTAGTTTTTGTAAGACAATATGTGAGTATATGTGTATATACAATCACTAAACAACGTGTGTATACGCAGCACACAAGGCTTCTCATCTACAATGATGAGATTCAGCCGGGTAACCAACTCCGACACGATGCAACGAGAAAAGCCTGGGGATTCACCAGCTCTGGTTTACCCTGGGTTTAGCCCACTCCAACATTATGTCGCAGATCAAAGGAGGAACATCGGCATATATCAAAAAGGCCATGACTCTTTGTGGAGCCTATCAACGCCCTGCGTGGTTTCCATCTTCATGTGGGTGGCAATACCGTTGTCAATTTTTTCTGTTTTGCAATTTTCATTGCTGACGAAGTAGCTCTGAAAGACTCCTCTGGATTCAAAGGTGCATCAGGTGTTCAGATTTGCCCATTGTGTACCAATATCGTTGCTGAGTCCAGCAATGTGCATCAGTTCAGCTCAACGTTGCAGCCCAGCGCATCCGTGAACCCAGCTGTTTGACAACGATGCAGTGATGCTTCCATGTTTGCTAAAATAGCCAAATTGCACCAGTCATTTCAAACTATCTCCAAGGGCGCCTTTGAGGAGCTTGAAAAATCACTTGGGTGGCTCTATATACCGAGTGGCCTCATGGGGGATGGCATGTCAAATCCTTTGGAGCTGACACCAGCATTCTACGATTACATGCGTACCCTTTTTGTCAATGGCGTGTACAATGTGGAAGTCGGTGGGCTCATGGGGCATTTGAAATCAGTTGGCATCCTGCAGGGTGAGCTCCGTGAGTTTTTGAGCAGCTTGACTTGGCCATCTTCAGTGGCTTCCAAATCAATAACTGGCCAAATGGTTTTCAGGAAAAAACAAGAGGGAAACGTCAAATGTTCAGCATCAGCATCTGAGTGTGTGGGGATTTACATGGGCATCCGTGCATTCCTCCTGATTAAGATGCCCCAGCTACAAGACATCCTGCAGGTTGGTAGCTATTTGGCATTAGCAGAGTTGATTGATGTCCTTCAAGCTGTGAGACGCGGCAAAAGGAGGGCGACTGATTTGGCCCATTCCATCTTAGTATACGTCCATGCCCACCAACAGGCTTATTCCAACACTTTGTGGGTTCCAAAGTTTCATTACCTCCAACATATTGCTGGGACGATTTCCCATCACGAGGTCGTGGTGGGATGCTTTGTGCATGAAAGGAAGCATCGGGTGGCAAAAAAAGTTTGCAGAAAACATCAGGGGAGTTGGTGAAAATTTTGAATCTTCGATTTTGAAAGAAGTCCTTTACATGAACGTGCAGGATCTTAGCGACAAAGATCTTGACCAATTGCACGTTGGCTTGGTCCAACCAATCCCTGCCAATCCAAAACTGTCCTGGCTTTTGCAGAGTGCCATGGGACTTCATGGCATGGTCATGTGCGCGCGTCGGGCTCACTATGAGCTGGGCTGCATCTGTGCTGTCGACGACTTTGTGATCTTCCCTTCTGAAGAGGGCATCCTTGTAGGTAAAGTTTGTTTCTTTGCCAGCATCAATCATATGAATTTGGCTTGCGTCCAAATTTGGGATGCCAAAGGTGGCAATGAGTTTGAAAAGACTGACAAGGATACCCTTCTTGATTTGGAAGGTATCGAAGACTGTCTCACCTACAAAGAGTTATCGCCAATCAGGATCTTAGCGGTGCCTACCTAGGAGCCGATCCGGCTCCCAAAACCGAAGCCATCCCCCCAACGGCCTTGGTTTTTTATTTTCATGGCCAAATCGTTTTTTGGTGGCCAATGGATGATTTTCACGATTTCACGCCCAGTGGGTTTCACGATTTTCACGGTTTTCACGTTTTCACGGTTTCACGGTTTTCACGTTTGGGTGGGATGGGTTGGGTGTGTTTTTTTTTTCGGCAGCCAAATCCTACGATTGGATTTGCTATGAGACACAAAAATGGCAGGCATGCTTATAGCCTCCGACCACATATGACATTCCAATTTTCCCTTTTTTGGGAGCCATGATTCACGAAAACAAGCTCAACACCGGCCGCAGCCACTATCATTTTTTTCACGGCAAGCTCTTTGGACGGAAGCGTCTTGAGCAAGAAGTAATATATTTTCTATTTAGTATATCAATAAAAAAAGATGCAACATATGAAATCTCATATATATGATATATATAAATATATGTCTCTATCTATCATAAATATACATAAATATACATATATTATATTATATATATATATAGAGCACGATGTAAACTAGATTGACATCAAAACACAAAACCCGGATGTGTGGATCACGGTCAATGATCATGGCATTTGAAAATTCCATCAGATTTTTTCCACGAACATATCTCCAAATTCCCAGATGAAGTCACAGAACACGGCATGAGATGTGCAATCGTGTTGCAATGCCCTTTTTTTTCATGCGCTGTGTCGACAGTGTCCTGCCTTCAGAGCCAGTTTCTAGCTTTGAGTCTGTACCCCCAATTTTTTTTTGAAGTGGCCCGGAAGAGCCATAAGCCAACGTTGAAGGAACCTCAGGTGAGACCCACGGCTATCAGTAAGACCTAAGGTTTTCCCACTTTTACGTAGGAAATCTTCGTCTAACCACGTGCTGTATCGAGCAGGGTTGCAAGAGCGAAACGACCTGAACACATGACATAATAGGTGGACCTTCGGACGTACCTTCCACAGCTTGTGCTGCTGCAAGGCAGTCACAGCCATGGACATGTAAATTTTCAAAAACGCAAAGCCAAGGACTTCCAAAGTGTCCTTCTCTTGCTGACTCAAAAACCAACTCTCTTGACTGTACATCAAAGATACGGCTCTGTTGCTCAGCCACAACATGGAAGATATCTCCGGGTATTTTTGGTGATGTCCAGACAGCACATCCTCCAGCCATAAAGCAATCACATAGGCATCGTATCCTGAAAGACCCAGTGATGGGTATTTCCGAGACTTCCAGCACAACTTGCCCTTGGTGAACTTTTTGCAGCGTAGTGGGTGACCATGTTGTTTGGCAAACATTTTCAGTGAATGGGTCGTTTCCAACAATCTAGCTTCCAGCGTCGGCCCTGTAAAGATATCGCGCTGTTGCAGAATCAGCTTCAACGCGCTTCCCAAAAAATCGCGCGCCATTCCCAATTCCAAGCGTAAAGGAGATCAGGCATGATCATATTGATATCAAAGCATTGGAGGTTCGCGTAGCTAGGCGGCACTGACCATGGAAGACAACGACCCATAGTTGCCCACCACCCCGCATCAGGAGCGATGTTGGTATAGCAGTTGGTAAGATCACCATCATTACCCTTCGTTGCACCACACAGCCAACAAACCTGCAGGATGTTTGGAACAACAACTGCGAAGATTTCACCAGTAAGGTTTTCATGAGTAAGGGTTTCATGGAAGGTATACTTGAAAGCATGATTTTTTATCACACTCCAGGCCTCATTGGTCCCATAGTTGCGTTCAAAGTTGAACAAAGCGACCAGCGCCTTCCAGTCCGCCCGAAACCCCATCACATAGAGACGAAGCCGACACACCTGGTCAGGCAATGTGTGTACGTATTCATATTTATATATATATGTATAAACCAGGAGAAGTAGAGAAAAAACACATGAAATTATACATGAAAGGGTTCAAAAGATGATGATGGATGACATGGCACTTCACCACCGCCCAAAGATGGTAGTGTATGAACTGGGATTCCAGTTGTGGACATCTCATTGAATGATTGTGTGATGCATCGTGTCACTGCTTCCAATGTCACACTGATGCCGTTTGAAAGTACGTATCTGCTAGCAGGAACCACGCAAATTGGAAACCTTGAAGAGGGAGAGTCCGTCCGCACCGGGCCACGCAAATTGGAAACCTTGAAGAGGGAGAGTCCGTCCGCACCGGGCTCAAGTCAGAAGTCCATATTAGGTGCATCCACGATTCACCATTAATGTCGACTTCATCACCTATACCAATGTCACAAAACCCCAGAAATTGTCATCCCTGGAAATGAAAACGCACAGAAAAATATATGTTGGCTAAATCAACACTGAGACACCATACAGAGTGCACCCAATGCTACTTCGCAGTTCAGGGTCTCTGTCAGCAACAACATGAGATGGGAAATCCCGTAGCATCCCCTTCCAATAGGGCTCAAGATCCTCCCAAGAAGACAGTAGGGCTTGGAGATATCCCTCGTCAATCAGCGTTGAAGCCTCAAGGCCAGGAATTGAAAATGGATTGAAACTTGTTACTGATTGCACTTGAGAACCCCCAAACCAAAATCCAGCCTAGAAACAAAGTCTTTGGGCAACAGAATAGGCCACTCCACTAACTTGTATGAGGGATCATCGACACTATCCCGAAGAGGTATCGTCACCCATGAAATTGGACAAGGCAATGTAGCACCACATGCCAAAGCGCGGTCGTGAAGACCATGCTCCCTATGCGACCTTGATTCATATTTGTTTCATGCGAATAGTGCCACAAGAAAACAAAAATTGCACTGCACAATATGAAACACATGAAAACTACAAGCAAAGCTTTGTGCAAACAGGATACCGCAAAAGATTCGAATCATAGACCTCTCCCACCATCCTCGCATGCTTGACCGATGTGTAACCAGAGCCAATTGAGTAGGCCAGCCTCAATTCGCGATATGGGAGCAGCATGTGAATGTGTAATGTAATGCCGTGGGTCACACTGGAGGTTCCAATGATATAAACACTGTTCAATTGCATAACATTTGTTATTTCTACTATTTCGATTTTTCCAAGTAAAAGCTGAGAAACGCATTGTCCAACTGTTCTCTGAGAAGTTGTTCAGGCCGAGATCTTGCACCTGCGTGGGTACTGCGAATTCCAAACTCTAGCTCTAGCAAGTTTACGAACCAACAACGGGTAAGCTAAGCCGCATATGAAATTTTCCATGTTCTTTCATGCCCCCAGGCATATAGCTTTCGAGTTTCGAAGGTGCACTAGTCTGTGCCATTCGCCCATTTCAAGAGCCCCTGCTGTTGCCCAAGAACCCCACATGTTCCAAGTTTTGACAAGTTCGGAGTCCCAGAAGAATTTGACAGAACGGACCAAATAGATAATCTAATTAAATATCTGTATATATATATATATGTACATATATTTAGATATGTAGAGATATATATTATCTAAGATTTAAAAGGTATGCTTTCATATGATTCTATCTTATGCCAGAGGTTCGTGGCAGTTTAAGGTGGCAAGTTTGGTGGCAAGTTCGGTGGCGGTGGCAGTTAGATATGGCAATGTGGGTGGCAGTTTCAGTGGCAATGAAGCGTTGGTGGCAAGTTTGATGGCAGAATGTGATGGCAAAAATGGTGGCAACCGTATTTTGGTGGCAAAAGGGGTGGCAACTGTGCATGGTAAAAATTGAGCCGGAAGTTTAGCAACAACATTTTTCCTGCAGCAGAGGTGTCAAAATTTGATGGCAGCTTTTTGGGCAGAAAAGGTTGCAAACACCTTCAGTCACAAAAAGGCGTTGAGTGTACATGGCACATGTTGACAGAAAGGGTGTGAGAGACTTTTTGGCGGCAAATGGGGTGGTAAGTTGATGGCAAAAGTGCTGGCAAAATTTGGTGCTACATCAACTACAGAGAAAGATGTTGACCAAAATCACGCCAGCCCTATTGCACCTTCTGCGGAGGCGACACCCACCGACCCTATGAATTAAAGAACCAGATAACCCCACATGGCAACTTCTTCCAATAATGAGCACCAAATGTTGTAGCGGGGACGGGGAAGAAAGGAAAGACAAAGGAGGTGGTGGAGGACCGAGAAGTAAAACAAAATTGTGTGTGTGTGCTACAAAGTTGTGTGTGGAAGATGGTGTGTGTGAAAGTTGTGTGAAAGATAGCGTGTGACAAAGTTGTGTGTGAAAGATGGTGTGTGACAAAGTGGTGTGCGAAAGATGCTGTGGCGAAAGATGGTGGGGGACAAAGTGAAGTGGTGTGTGAAAGATGGTGTGGTGAAAGATGGTTGGTGACAAAGTGCTGTGTGAAAGGTGGTGTGGTGAAAGATGGTGTGTGACAAAGTGGTGTGTGAAGGATGGTGTGGTGAAAGATGGTGTGTTAAAGATGGTGTGTGAGAGATGGCGTGTGAAGGATGGTGTGGTGAAAGAAAGTGTGTGACAAAGTGGTGTGAAAGATGGTGTGTCAAAGATGGTGTGTGAGAGATGGCGTGTGAAGGATTGTGTGGTGAAAGAAAGTGTGTGACAAAGTGGTGTGAAAGATGGTGTGAAAGGTGGTGTGTCAAAGATGGTGGGTGACAAAGTGCTGTGTGAAAGGTGGTGTGTGAAAGATGGTGTGTGACAAAGGTGGGCGTGAAAGATGGTATGTGAAAGGTGGTGTGTGAAAGATGGTGTGTGTGACAAAGATGGTGTGTGAAAGATAGTGTGTCAAAGATGGTGTGTGAAAGATGGTGTGTGACAAAGTGGTGTGTCAAAGATGGTGGGTGACAAAGTGGTGTGTGAAAGATGGTTTGTCAAAGATGGTGGGTGACAAAGTGGTGTGTGAAAGATGGTTCGTGAAAGGAGGTCGATGTCACCAAGCGCCACACCTGCCACGCAAAACGAAGGTAGATGTCTCCAAGTGCCACGCCTGCCACGCAAAGTGGAGGTCCATGGTCGCCAAGTGCCACGCCTGCCACGCAAAGTGACTGTCCATGTCGCCAAGTGCCACGCCTGCCACGCAAACAGCGGCGGCGTCCACGGCGTCAACTGGGAACCAAGCGCGCCACCAGAGCCAGCCAAGTGCCATAAGTGCCACGCTTGCCATGCAAAGTGGAGGTCCATGCCACCAAGTGCCGCACCTGCCACGCAGAATGCACGCACGTGTCTCCAAGTACCACGCCTGCCACGCAAACAGCGGCGGCGTCCACGGCGTCAACTGGGAACCAAGCGCGCCACCAGAGCCAGCCCAGTGCCATAAGTGCCACGCCTGCCACGCAGAATGCACGTACATGTCTCCAAGCGCCTCATCTGCCACGCAGAATGCACGGACGTACATGTCTCCAAGTACCACCCCTGCCACGCAAACAGCGGCGGCGTCCACGCTGGGAACCAACCGCGCCACCAGAGCCAGCCCAGTGCCATAAGTGCAACGCCTGCCACGCAGAATGCACGTACATGTCGCCAAGTGCCGCACCTCCCTCGCAGAATGCACGCACGTGTCGCCAAGTACCACGCCTGCCACGCAAACAGCGGCGGCGTCCACGGCGTCAACTGGGAACCAAGCGCGCCACCAGAGCCAGCCCAGTGCCATAAGTGCCACACTTGCCACGCAGCATGCACGTACATGTCTCCAAGCGCCTCATCTGCCACACACGTACATGTGCCATCCAGTACCACGCCTGCCACGCAACAGCGGCGGCGTTCCACGCCGTCACTGGAACCAAGCGCGCCACCGAGCCGCCCAGTGCCATAAGCGCCACGCCTGCCACGCAGAATGCGGTAGAAGTTGTGTGTGGACAGTTGTGGGGAGGTGTGTGTTGTGGGAGCGATTTGAAGACAAGTTGTGTGGGAGCGCTTTGGTGAGGACAAGTTGTGTGTGGACAAGTTGTGTGTGGACAAGTTGTGTGAGAACAAGTTGCGTGTGGACAAGTTGTGTGTGAGCGATTTGGTGACGGCATGTTGTGTGTGAGCAAGTTGTGTGATGACAAGTTGTGTGTGGACAAGTTGTGTGTGGACAAGTTGTGTGAGGACAAGTTGTGTGTGGACAAGTTGTGTGAGGACAAGTTGTGTGGGAGCGATTTGGTGAAGACAAGTTGTGTGATGGCAAGTTGTGTGTGAGCATTTTGTGTGAGGACAAGTTGTGTGTGAGCAAGTTGTGTGATGACAAGTTGTGTGTGGACAAGTTGTGTGTGAGCAAGTTGTGTGTGGACAAGTTGTGGGCGGGAGGGGCGGGAGGCGGAGGAGGAGGCGGCGGCGGGATACAGAACCAAAAACAAGAACCCCACACAAAGATGTGGGGAAAAAATGTTGAGCCAAATTTTGCCCAGGCGGCTACCCGCCTGCCCGTCAAGAAATAAGGCCGATTTTTGCCAAAATAAGCCTTATTTTGAGAAAAATCGACCTTATTTTTTGACGGGCAGCGATGGCAACCAAAAACTCGCACGCTTGTCCTTTCAAGACAAACCGCACTAGTTTTTGGTTGCCATCGTTGCCCGTCGAAAAATAAGGCCTATTTTTCTCAAAAATAAGGCTTATTTTGGCAAAAATCGACCTTATTCCTTGACGGGCAGGTGGGCAGCTGCCTGGGCAAAATTTGGCTCAACATTTTTTCCCGACATCTTTGTGTGGGGTTCTTGTTTTTGGTTCTGTATCCCGCCGCCGCCGCCGTTTTTGGTTGCCATCGTTGCCCGTCAAGAAATAAGGGCGATTTTTGTCAAAAATAAGGCTTATTTTGGCAAAAATCGACCTTATTTCTTGACGGGCAGGTGGGCAGCTGCCTGGGCAAAATTTGGCTCAACATTTTTTCCCCACATCTTTGTGTGGGGTTATTGTTTTTGGTTCTGTATCCCGCCGCCGCCGTTTTTGGTTGCCACCGTTGCCCGTCAAGAAATAAGGTCGATTTTTGCCAAAATAAGCCTTATTTTTGACAAAAATAGGTCTTATTTTTTGACGCAACGATGGCAACCAAAAACTAGTGCGGTTTGTCTTGAAAGGACAAGCGTGCGCGTTTTTGGTTGCCATCGTTGCCCGTCAAAAAATAAGGTCGATTTTTGTCAAAATAAGGCTTATTTTGGCAAAAATCGACCTTATTTCTTGACGGGCAGGTGGGTAGCTGCCTGGGCAAAATTTGGCTCAACATTTTTTCCCCACATCTTTGTGTGGGGTTCTTGTTTTTGGTTCTGTATCCCGCCGCCGCCGCCGTTTTTGGTTGCCATCGTTGCCCGTCAAGAAATAAGGTCGATTTGTCAAAAATAAGGCTTATTTTGGCAAAAATCGACCTTATTTCTTGCCGGGCAGGTGGGCAGCTGCCTGGGCAAAATTTGGCTCAACATTTTTTCCCCACATCTTTGTGTGGGGTTCTTGTTTTTGGTTCTGTATCCCGCCGCCGCCGTTTTTGGTTGCCACCGTTGCCCGTCAAGAAATAAGGTCGATTTTTGCCAAAATAAGCTTTATTTTTGACAAAAATCGACCTTATTTCTTGACGGACAACGATGGCAACCAAAAACGGCACCAGCGGCGGGATACAGAACCAAAAGCAAGAACCCCACACAAAGATGTGGGGAAAAAATGTTGAGCCAAATTTTGCCCAGGCAGCTGCCCACCTGCCCGTCAAGAAATAAGGTCGATTTTTGCCAAAAGAAGCCTTATTTTTGACAAAAATCGACCTTATTTCTTGACGGGCAGGTGGGCAGCTGCCTGGGCAAAATTTGGCTCAATCTTTGTGTGGGGTTTTTGTTTTTGGTTCTGTATCCCGCCGCCGCCGTTTTTGGTTGCCACCGTTGCCCGTCAAGAAATAAGGTCGATTTTTGCCAAAATAAGCTTTATTTTTGACAAAAATAGGCCTTATTTTTTGACGGGCAACGATGGCAACCAAAAACTAGTGCGGTTTGTCTTGAAAGGACAAGCGTGCGCGTTTTTGGTTGCCATCGTTGCCCGTCAAAAAATAAGGTCCATTTTTGTCAAAATAAGGCTTATTTTGGCAAACATCGACTTTATTTCTTGACGGGCAGGTGGGTAGCTGCCTGGGCAAAATTTGGTTCAACATTTTTTCCCCACATCTTTGTGTGGGGTTCTTGTTTTTGGTTCTGTATCCCGCCGCCGCCGCCTCCTCCTCTGCCTCCCGCCCCTCCCGCCCACAACTTGTCCACACACAAGTTGCTCACACACAACTTGTCCTCACCAAATCGCTCACACACACAACTTGTCCACACACAACTTGTCATCACACAACTTGCTCACACACACAACTTGTCCTCACCAAATCGCTCACACACAACTTGTCCACACACAACTTGTCCTCACACAACTTGTCCACACACAACTTGTCCTCACACAACTTGCCCACACACAACTTGTCCACACACAACTTGTCATCACACAACTTGCTCACACACAACTTGTCCTCACCAAATCGCTCACACACAACTTGTCATCACACAACTTGTCCTCACACAACTTGTCCACACACAACTTGTCCACACACAACTTGTCATCACACAACTTGCTCACACACAACATGCCCTCACCAAATCGCTCACACACAACTTGTCCACACGAAACTTGTCCTCACACAACTTGTCCACACACAACTTGTCCTCACCAAATCGCTCCCACACAATATGTCTTCACCAAATCGCTCCCACACAACTTGTCCTCACACCACTTGTCCACACACAACTTGTCCACACACAACTTATCACACAACTTGCTCGCACACAACTTTGTGAGGACAAGTCGCTCACACACAACTTGTCCTCACACAACTTGTACGTGCATTCTGCGCGGCAGGCGTGGCACTTATGGCACTGGGCTGGCTCTGGTGGCGCGCTTGGTTCCCAGTTGACGCCGTGGACGCCGCCGCTGTTTGCGTGGCAGGCGTGGTACTTGGCGACGCGTGCGTGCATTCTGCCTGGGAGGTGCGGCACTTGGCGACATGTACGTGCATTCTGCGAGGCAGGCGTGGCACTTATGGCACTGGGCTGGCTCTGGTGGCGCGGTTGGTTCCCAGCGTGGACGCCGCCGCTGTTTGCGTGGCAGGGGTGGTACTTGGAGACATGTACGTGCATTCTGCGTGGCAGATGAGGCGCTTGGAGACATGTACGTGCATTCTGCATGGCAGGCGTGGCACTTATGGCACTGGGCTGGCTCTGGTGGCGCGCTTGGTTCCCAGTTGACGCCGTGGACGCCGCCGGTGTTTGCGTGGCAGGCGTGGTACTTAGCGACACGTGCGTGCATTCTGCGTGGCAGGTGCGGCACTTGGTGGCATGGACCTCCACTTTGCGTGGCAGGCGTGGCACTTATTATGGCACTGGGCTGGCTCTGGTGGCGCGCTTGGTTCCCAGTTGACGCCGTGGACGCCGCCGCTGTTTGCGTGGCAGGCGTGGCACTCGGCGACATGGACAGTCACTTTGCGTGGCAGGCGTGGCACTTGGCGACCATGGACCTCCACTTTGCGTGGCAGGCGTGGCACTTATGGCACTGGGCTGGCTCTGGTGGCGCGCTTGGTTCCCAGTTGACGCCATAGACGCCGCCGCTGTTTGCGTGGCAGGCGTGGCCCTTGGCGACATGGACCGTCACTTTGCGTGGCAGGCGTGGCACTTGGCGACCATGGACCTCCACTTTGCGTGGCAGGCGTGGCACTTGGTGACATCGACTTCCACTTTGCGTGCCAAGCAAGGCGCTTGGTGACATCCACCTTCGTTTCACGTGGCAGGCGTCGCACTTGGAGACATCTACCTTCGTTTTGCGTGGCAGGTGTGGCGCTTGGTGACATCCACCTTCTTTCGCGAACCAGCTTTCACACACCACTTTGTCACCCACCATCTTTGACACACCATCTTTCACACACCACTTTGTCACACACCATCTTTGACACACCACTTTGTCACACACCATCTTTCACACACCATCTTTGACACACTATCTTTCACACCATCTTTGTCACACACCATCTTTCACACACCACCTTTCACACAACACTTTGTCACCCACCACCTTTGACACACCATCTTTCACACCACTTTGTCACACACCATCTTTCACCACACCATCCTTCACACACCACCTCTCACACACCAGCTTTGACACACCATCTTTGACACAACATCTTTCACACCATCTTTCACACACAGTCACAGACCCATCTTTCGCACACCACTTTGTCTCACACCATCTTTCACCACACCATCCTTCACACACCACTTTGTCACACACACACACACATCTTTCACCACACCACCTTTCACACACACACAACTTTGTCACACATCATCTTTCACCACAGCATCTTTCACACACCACTTTGTCGCACACCATCTTTCACACACAACTTTGTCACACGCTCTCTTTCACACAACTTTGTCACACACACCATCTTTCACACACAACTTTGTCACACACACACAACTTTGTTTTACTTCTCGGTCCTCCACCACCTCCTTTGTCTGTCCTTTCTTCCCCGTCCCCGCTACAACATTTGGTGCTCATTATTGGAAGACTTTGCCATGTGGGGTTATCTGGCCCTTTAACTCTGTGCCCCGCAATGTTCCAGCATCGCTTAGACACAGAAAATCATTAGACCAAAACACAACCGAAAGGCAATTGCTGACCAAGTGAGCTGTAAACACAACAATTTCTGAGCACTAAGTTTGATCATTCGACACCACAACAATCTGATTGAAAATGTTCACTTGCTTTGCATATGACACAATTCCAGAAGCCGCTTGTGCAAGCCAACGGCTGCATACAATATCCTTTGGCCATGCAATGTGCCATCTGCTTTTCCCACTTACGCGTCGCGTCTCTAGCCCTTGCCACATTTTTTGCCAGAGCTTTGCTACCTGTGTTGCTATTGCTTTTGCCCGCAATGCAAGTTTGCCCTTTCGTTGCCACGTGTGTTGCCAAGGGCTTTTGCTCGCAGCCAAAATTTTGCCATTCAATTTGCCGCCTGTGCTTTTGCCCCCGCCAAGTATTTGCCAGTGTTTTTTGCCACCGATGTTGCCATTACATTTGCCCCCGTCGGTTTTTTCCATCCATGTTGCCCTGCAGATTGCCACCGCCATTGCCATTGCCATTGCTTTTGCCCTCAAAGTTGCCATCTTTGTTGCCATCAAATTTGGGCGCCTAATAGAGCATTGTTCTTGAATTTTAGATAAGATATATATATATATACAACTGGGGTCTTCAGGCAATCTATGCAGCAACCCTGCATCGCCCTACTGACAAAGTCAAAATTTGATTCATTTTTGAGTCCACCATGGCCGCATTATTTGAAAAAAGGCCAAGTGCCAATCCATCCGAAGGTGCTCACTCCTCAGCGTCTTTCTTCAACTCATTGGCCACCGCCTTGGCCTGAGCGCGAATCAGCCGTGTGGCTTTGACCTGGGCACCAATTGGAGATTCGAAGGGGGCCCGATATCTTTTCCAACAAACTTGTGAAAACCAATCATGCCATAATTTTCATGAATATTGGCAATTCAATTTCGCCAAGATGCAAGATCAGCGCAGTCCGATTCGAACTGATCCAGCATTTCATCCGTTTGGTCCTTCAGCCTTAGATACATGCAGTTTCAGAGGTGCCCATTTTCAAAAAAAGGTGGTAAATATACAAAAACAGAATCCTTCGTGAACACTTTCTCCCATATTCACATTCACATATCGTTATTTTTTTTCGGACATGGATTGTGTAATTTAGATGAGGGGCACATCCATGTAAGTTTCAAGATCCTGCTTCTTTTTCACGGGCTGTTCTCGGATGGGGGTGTCAGATGGCAGCTCCGAACCCACGTTGATCACATTGTTCAACTCTTTCCGGAGCTGGTTTCCTAAGTTCATGCTGATCTTCAATTGGGAAGTGTGAATTCACACATGTGATGTATTTAAATACATCGTTATCACATTAGTATCTTATATACATATGTATATATATATATAATAACAATATTATATTCCATCGAATATGTAAACAAGATCATATATGTGCATATATATATATATGTGTGTGTGCATATGTGCATATGTTCATAGAGATTTCCCACAATATGCCTACATATGCAGTCTCCTCTTTTTGTATGTAAATATGACGACCATAGCTTAAACCCCAATTAAATCCCAAGATCGAATCGCAACACGCTGCTCAGCTGGGGTCTTGGGAGTCACCTGCGCAACTTTGCCCTTTGCCTTAGCTTTCGCCTTCGCTTTCGCCTTAGGAGTAGGCTCTGCAGCAGGCGTGCTGTTGGCAACATCCACCAAAGCCCGGAGAGTAGGCCCATTGCCACAAGGTGTAGGTGCACCAGAGCTAGGAACATCATGCTGCATCAAGCCTGCCAATCCAGTAGCCGATGGAGCGACGCGTGCACTGGCTGTTGCTGTCACCCGAGTGCGTTCTTTCTCTGAAAACTCACCACCCGATGTCGCCCAAAAACGTACGCTTTCTGGACATTCAGGGGCATCAGGATCAGGATGGGGTGTCGATCGTGAAATGATGGTGTCAATCTTGGCCCTTAGCTGGATAGGATTTGGGAAAAACATCGAAACTATTTCACATTCTATAGTTTTCACATACATACGCAGGAAATAAGTTCAACATATATGCCTAAAGGATTTCAAGATTCTGACTGAAACCTTTCGCTTTCATTTCTCTGATCGTCAGCAGTTCACGCTTTAAGCATGTCTCCCCCTCCTGCTCCTTCGTCACTTTCAAGTCCATCTCAATGGCCTTCATGTTCTCGCCATGCTGAACAAACTGCTGAAGAAGCTGCTGCTTTTCCTGAATGGTAGGCACTAGGGCATTTGTCAAAATATGTCATTAAGATTGTCACCTTAGGTCTTCAAAGTCTTGGAGAAATGATCCAAAAATATTGAACATTATTCAAAATATACCTAGTTTCTTTGCGTGATCCATTCCACAAACGTGACATGTTGGGGAATTCTGCAACGGGAAGTTTTTCCATCCTGCGCACCAATCGTGCATGGGCGGCCCTGTGGGTGCTGGAATTGATCTCGGTCTCTCCAGGCGAAGTTTCATCCGGCACCGTGGGTCCAGGCTTGGTAGCAGGTGAAGTCTTGGCAGGGTCTTCATCATTGGGGCCATTCATCTCCTTCTTGTTTTCCATGGTCTTTGCTGACTTGGTGGACGGTGCTGCCGGGGGTGCCATAGTACGCTTTCCAGGATTGGAACTTGCAGGCTTTCCAGCATGAGCTTCAGCCATCTCGTGGTTCTTGTTGAGGTCCAAGAGCTGTGGGGCCAAATTCCCAATCACCTCGCGCATCGCAGGGTCCTCCAAAACGCTCTGGATGTGGCTCAATGATTTCACCAGGGCATCCAACTTGTGCTCATGAACTTCTGAAGCAGAAGGTCCCAACCTCATAGTTTCAAAATTGAGTGGTGAAAAACAACGGGAATCATGACTTGTAACTACATGCAACACATTGGGGGGGCTATTATAGTGAAAACAAATATGAACAAGAAAATTGTGCAACTACATATGGTCAGGGAACTCGGTCTCATCATCAGAAGGACGTTTGTCAAGATGGGCAGTGGAAGCACGTCTCACCAAGCCACATTTCCGATCCGAAGCCTGCCGCGATAGGTGCGTCTGTCCAAGCACAAGGGTACTGCACGACCTTAGATAAGCAAGTGATTTCTCTTTGGAGATGTATCTTTCTTAAACCCTTGATCTCCCCAATCTTCCCAAAAATGTCGGTGATAACATACTGCAAGAAAAAACTTATCTAATCTGAAACATGGAAAGGGACCGCAAAGACTTCATGGGTGGGTTTTCTCCAGAGTCAATGCGCTCTGCTTGTACAACGTGACGTCCTTGTCGGGTTGGGGTCGGTGTGCTCTTCAAGGCTTCTTGCAACTGCTCCTTGGCTGCTGCTGCGGGATCATCAGGCTTCTCAACAGCGATACGGGTAGGTTCCACAGGTTCCACAGGCTCTGGACGGCCAATGGCTTCTTCAGCTGGCTCTGCAGCAGCACCACCCTGGGGAGAGTCCTGGTCATCGTTGTTGGATCCATTGGCTGCAACGTCAACTTCATCATCTTCAACATCATTGTCATCCTCCAGCTCTTCTTCTTCACCATCTTCAGGTTCATCAAGGGTGGTATCATCCGTAGTATAGGCATCTGGTTTCAGCTCGGGATACATCGTAGGATCACCCAACTGGTTGTCGACAGGCTCGTAGTCCATCTGTCTCAGTCTGCGTCTCTTGGGTGGCTCTTCAGGTGCTGCTGCAGGTGGCTTGGGCTCAACTTCCTTTTTCACATGAGCAGGTTTCATGGAAGCAGGTTTCACAGAAGCCGCTGTGGCACTTGAAGGTGGGGACTCCAAGGAAAATCCTTTGGGCCGAGGTCCGATCAAAGAGGTCAAAACCCGAATGGTTTCGACTTCAGAAAGGCCAAAGTGAGCCTTGCACTCCGCAAAGTTTTCCCAGGAAACCTCACATCCCAAGGGTGCAAGTGACTGGCGAACTTCTACTGTTGGTTCGGCTGCGGCACTAGCTCGAGGGTTTGGTTCGACTGGTTCGGCTTTGGCTCGAGGGGCTGCAGGGAGATCACCGCCAGAACATTTCGTTCTCATCCTCTTGCTTGGTCTATCAGGAGTCCTGGGTGCTGCTGCCTCCTTTGCTGCATGTTTAGTGCGAGCCATGTGCCTTAAAAAAGGCTTTGGAAAAAGGTTCCTACCTAACTCTTTTGAGCAGGCCTATACATACAACCATACATAATGATAAGATCTGTGAAAGTGCTGATGATTGTTTTCCTTTCACATTTTTCGGACTGTTTCGTGCTTTTCGTGATTTTCGTGCTCAAAAATTCCGAAACTAGCATTCACGTTTTTCATGCGGTTTCCATGTCCAATCACCGCTTTTTCACGTCCAATGACTCGCATTTTCACGTGCCAACTTTTTCCTAGTTTGGGACAACACCAATGTGAATTCGCATTTTCGTGAATTTCGTGAATTGGATGCATTTTTGTGAAATCCATGCAACCAAAGATATATCAAGATATTATTTCATGACCTTGATCAACTCACAGCTCTACTCATGTTCATGGTGAAAATTTAGCTTATGTGATTTTCATCTTACACGATTCCACATGAGGTGTTGTTATCCCGGCACCCTCAAAGATATCAGCCATAGGCTGGATACACAACCCCATATCATCAAGCTAAGGTGAAAGCCATCCACCAGCAAGCCATCATCACATGACAGAGGCGTGGATATCCCGGAGCTTCAAGTCATGGAGAATCTCCTCCTGAGATGCACAGCCAATTGATGTGAAATTATTTCATGTCAAATTGCACCCAATGTGCAAGTAGCGGTGTTTGTTATGAATATGATCGGTTTAGAAATTACGATTTACATAGGTTCCATACATCTGGAAATCGATCCATCTTGAATTACACCAAGCATCCCAACCATGCGGGATGTTGATGTGCTTAGCAGACGCAAAGTATTCCAGCACATGCCACATATGAACCTCAGAATAACCCAAAATGTTTTTTTGGGAGTCAATGCATCACCGTGAAAAAACATGAAAATTCAACTGCTATGATATAAATTGTACCAATGAGTCAGGGCACATCATCCCAGCGATCAACTATAGGTAAGCAGTGCATTTTGAAGAGCTCCAAATCCGTGAGGCCTTCATCAATCTTCAGCTCCACGGGAATGAGACATGGTGGAGCCGGAACCTCAGACCGTTCGGTGAGATCCATGAAAATGGGATACATAATAGATAGATAGAAAGACAGAGAGAGAGAGAGAGAGAGAGAGATAGATAGATAGATATATATATATATTATATACAGGGATGTTTCAAAATAGGGATGCCCCAAAGTTCTGTTTTACACACAAAAAACAAGCGAATTGGGGCACCCCTGGGCACCACTATTTTGAGACATCCCCAATCAGACTATATATATATACACGGATCGTTAAATTAGGTCACCACCCAATTCGAACACGATTCTTGCAAAGATATGGGTTTGCAACAGGATGTATGGGTTTCAAAAAAATATCGGACCATCAAAATTTCACATGGTCTTGCCAATGAGGGCATGAAAATATACTGATTTCATGATGTTTCCAGGGATAAATTCAGCCAAGTAACACCTCGCAACTCCAGAGCAATGGATGCCAAGAAATCTCCAAAAGCTGCCGGGTAATGCCTGCATGGGGCGATGATTATAATGGGAAAAAGGGTTCATCGTTTCCGCACTGGAAGTCTAATATGAATATGTTTCATGGGCGTTTTTCACAGAACAAGATGTATGATTTTCTAAAATCTCAACGAATAAAAGACTTGGTTGAACCCAGAACAAGTTTTTTAACTGAGAACTCAAAAATTAGACAAGATACGCGCTCTCCTTCAATGCTGGCTTAGTGCCACTACATCGCACTTTTCCAGATTTGTCTATGTACTTCTTGACCAACTTGTTTGAGCAAAGAGATTGTTCAGCCCGTGACATATATCCTGCTCGGTCACAGATCGTGTCCAAGTAGTACTTGCAGTTGGAAAATAGACGATGCCGTTTAGGACTTCCAGAGCCAAAGACTCCCATGTACATGGTGCCAGCGTAGACCTGCAAAAATGTGAGGCTGACACATAAAGTGTATACAGACATGTTCCATATCGCAGCTTCTGATAGACATGTAATATATATAAATATTACACACACATACACATATATATATAATATAGTATATATATATATGTGTATATATATGTATATATATGTGTGTATGTATATATATATATATATTTAGCAGATATATAGATTGCGACAGGCTAACGTCCGAAAAGATCCACATGAAAATGCAAAGTATACGGACGAGATTCTGTAGCTCAACGCAATTGCGGCCTACCCACCCAACCCTGCCTTCAGCACTGAAAAGAGCCATTGATAGTGTGGCAGGTGCTCGAGGAAGGAGCCGTCAGGTTGCTCGATGATGAATCGAAGACCACACCATGCAGCAAGTAGGGCCACTATCACAGTTCGACCTGATAGTGTATTGCCAACCCGGACGAAGACATATCCGCGATTTCCCATTGGAGTAAGATAGGATCGACCGCTTGTGTGCCGACACCTTGCATGGAAGTCGCTGGAGGATGAATTTTCTTGATATCATGAATTGCGCATCAAGACATCTCACTTGTATGTTTTTTCTCATTCATGTATGCATTTTCATGCTGATACGCACTAGTAATCAAAACCGCCATATATTGACGCTGGAAGTCCAAAACGGCAGCTCTCTCCTCAAAGATAAGGTGTTGAAATTATTTCACTGATTTCACTTTCAAAGGCTGATTTGGATGACAAGATCATTATACCAACCTGTCAGAAAATTAGAACCCCACGAAAAATTGAATCCATCAACGGGAATTACATGGCCACCCCAATCATGACCAAGAAACATTTTGGATAGGCTGCGGCAATCGGGGGCAAGAACGACTGTGCTCCCAGGTTTGCATCTCATCACTTCGTTCAATACGAGCCTGCGCATGGACGGCATGGATCCCAGAAAGCTTCAAACGCTATGACTTTGGTTTTCTCTACATTCTTTATTTTTTGTATTTCTATATGACTTCTCCCAAGTTCGGAAAAGCTGTCTGAAGGCGATATATATGTGCAATTCATACTGTAGCCATATGCACGGGCATGTGCCACTTATAATTAAGATAACAACCAAGAGACCCGAAAGCAGAAGGACCGGTGAGGTCAAAGGCTTTTGCATCCAGACATATGTCAATCGAGGTGCCAGCCATCCCAACCTCGATGGACAGGACGAAAACCATGGTGGATGACTTGGGTCATAAACAGGAAAAATCATGAACTTTCATGAGCTTTCATCAACATAATGCACAGATTTTGTATGTGATACCACTCGCAACATGTGATCCATATGTAGATTATGATAGAATCCAAGAAACATCTCTCATAGCACGACTGATCTCGCCGTGGCCGCTGAAAACCTCCATAAAATCCCGGTCCTTAATATGGAGACATGAAAATCTGAAAATACCCACTGGATCCGAAATCCATGGCTTGAGATATGTTCACACATGCAATGGGAAAACATGTGAAAATAGAAAGATAACTAATCTCAAACGAAGATCAATTCCATGTGGGATCTGCTGATTCCATTGGATCAAGAGGGTCAGCAAAATGATCACTGCAGGAACGCGGTACTTCAACAACTCCAAGACAACCATGGCGGTGAATCTCAGGCGCCCTTTAAAAAGATGGACTAGCACAGCTTGAAAATCTGCAGAATAGATTTGATTAATTCTCATTCTTTGCATTCAGACTTGGCATCAATGGGCATGAATTTTTCAGCTTCCACAACAGCCATCATTGCGGATAGAATCAAGCAGGGCTGGCTCTGAACATGTTTCCTTTTCATGTCGCAAAGCACAGGCATCCCCCTGCCCATGGTCACATTGCCAAAGAAACGTATCTAATCCGACCATGGATTTTTGGTCGTACCCTTTGGGACAAATTTCCTCCGCTTAAGCTCTTGTATGGAAACATTTTTCAAATAGTTGCGTTTGGCATCACAGGTCTCCCACATGCCTTTGGCCTCTTTGAAAGAGACACCCTTGTCAATCCGACACTGATCAATCCATTTGCTTCTAATTGCATTATAATTCCATGGCTCAGCACTTTCATGTTTGCGTTTTTTGGGAGGATCAGCTGCCGACTCTTCATCCTCCTCTGGTGGAACTGCAGCCGCGTCCCTAGCAGCTTGCACGGCCGGGATGTACTGGGCCTTTGAGGAAAAGGTGGAGGTACCGCCACGGATCGAAGGGTCTCCAAAACCTCAGATTATGGGAGACAAGTCTGGATAGAATAGGTTGTGAATTCATGTGATTGTTCCGAACTGGATTCAGCAACAATTCATGGAAACATGAAATGATACAACACCAAAAATTAAATGTTAGTTTACAGTGCCAGGCAACATGGTCTGGCAGAACATATGGATTTTCTGTGCCAGCATCAGAGTTTGCATCTTTCAAAGGACCCTTTGGGTTCGACAAAGTGCATGGTTTCGATTGTTTCAGTTCTCCTTGAAGTCGACGTTGTTTTGCTTCTGCTAAAACATCTTTCACACTCTTGGGTTTGGACTCAGGTTCATTGGGCGTGTAAGCAACAGTAGCAGAATCATCATCCGAACTCACTTCCACAACATCACAGCATTTCGATTCAGCCACAGGGGTCTTAATCACGAACTTCTGAAGTTGCGCAATTACCCGACCAAGTTTCGAGTCTGCAGAGATATCCGAAAGATCTGCACTGCTCCCAGGCGATGTAGTCGAAGATGTGGCCTGCAATTCCTCCAAATCGGCCGGGGAGCCCACCGAGGAGCGCGAATCCTGAGCGGGCTAGGATGGATTCAATAATTTGAAGAGTCAGGATGCATGACAAGAATCTGGATGAGAAATATGCATTTTGACAATTCAGAGACAGAGTTTTGTGATCCAACATGAAATTCCGACTATATTATGTTGATCCATGCTTCATCGTCATCATCACTGCCATTGGTCTTTCCCTTTGCAGATTCGCTCCACCCAAGGTTTCGTGCACGTGCCTTGATCTCTCCCAGCTTCTTGTACTTGGACCCAGTGGATCTTCTCAGGGGTCGTCGGAATCGTGAAACCTCAGATGGCATGGTATGAATGGTCATTCATGCGTGCATTCAACAAAATCAGTTTTCAAGTGGGAATGAACTTGTGTTTTCGGGTCGACTCTATAGATCGATGGTTTTGTTTTCAAAACGTCAATCACATTGCCCACTGGAAATAAAGTACTATATCAGAGATTTGCATATATAAATATATATTATATATAACATGTGCAACTATGTAAACATAATTTTTATGTATATTTATATATATATGTATGATCTTTAATGCATATATATATATATGGTTTTATATGTACATGTCTATGTTTTCACAGGTGTGGAAATGGAGCCTTGCATCAAATACCTCACCCCTAAACCCATTCTATGTGAAACCACCTTCATGAAACCCAGGGGCCAGCTTCTTCAAAGCCAGGCCATTTTTCAAAGCCCAGTCTTGCACAGACGGAATCTCGGCATAGATTCCGGAAGGGAACAACTTATGTTTGGTGAAGAAAGCCAGTATTCCATCCCGTAGCGTATATGCGCTAGCTCTGGATTTGCCATCAAGCCCATCGATGACCGCCAGGATAACCTAATGGGATCATATGTTAGAACCATTGCACACAATATTGTATATAAACTCTCATGACCGGTTTCCCAACATGATTTCAAACAGATTGCTATCAGCTTGTGGGCATTCAAATCTGTATCTTTCACACACCACACCTCATGGTTAGCTATGATGTCCTTCATCGTCGGCCTCTTCTTTGTGAACAGCTTCCCCGAGTGATCGACCAAGAGGCTCATGCCAACCTAGGCACATGATTGGCAAATCTATTCATGGAAAAATCACGGCGAAATAATACTGCATGCCTTCTTCATGTGTTCTTTTTCATCTGAATTGATTGGGTGGTTGGATCGAATTTCATGTTTTGTCCAAGCCACTTCCTTAAGCCTCGGGAATTTCTCAAAGGCAGTCACATAGGGTGCATGAATTGGCACAACATCAGGATCTAAACTTGGCAACGCCATGATCCAAGCGGAAGTTTTGACCCAAAACGCCTGTTCAAATCATAACTCAATCACCTGCAGCTCTATATATATTATATATAACATATATAGATACATATAAAGAGATCGACTGCAACGACCGTGAACCTGCATGGCCAAGGATGGGAAGCACCTGCTGTCGAAGAGGTAGCATAGCTGAGCGCCTGGCATGAGAGATGAAATCCAGTGGCATGAGGGTTGGAATCGCACAAAGAAAATCTTGGGTGAATTAGGACAAGAGAAAATCTTTTCTGTTTGAACTGTATATCATCACCAAACCAAAGGAAATTGTGATCTTTCAGTTTTGGATCTTTTTCAGTTTTGGATCTTTCACGTCAGCTGCATGGGCAATCAATCAAACTGCCAGGCGCACCATATGTAGATCTCAGCGACATGGGATATCGATCAGAGCCACCTGTGGCATGGATGGAAGTTCATGGCAAGATGTATCAACAAAATATGACCTGGAAAAATAAATTATGCCTGCATGGTTTGCACAATACGATCAATCTATCCTGTGTCCATTCCAAACATGCAGTTTCACATTGATGCGTCTTCACAGATCGAAGCCAACCTCACGTACCAACTGAAGCAATTCGACTCACCATGGCCAGGAATACCCTTCAACAAAAGAAGATGTTGGTAATGCTTTGTTGCAATTTGTTTCCATGCAATTTGTTTATCATGTGGGCCATGCATGATTTTCCTTTTCGCACGACATGGTGTGATCTGATCAAGAAAATGGCATGATCTGAACATGAAAACATGAAATTACATGCAAACTTCCGAGCGTTGCTGAAAAAGAACGCCCCGAACCCCAGCGAGGCTGAGTTTTGAGGCAGCGATTGGGATGCCGAGCCAATTTGTTTCGTGAATTTCTCGTGTTTTTTTCCATTCGCATCCGATGTTTCGTGCGTTTTCTCCATGAAAGAATTACATGGAAATCTGTTTTTGTTCCCAAACAATGATCGAGATCACGCGACCAACGAGAGGAAATATATCGTGTGAAAGAAATTGTTGGTAGCTTTGATTTGGCACATGATCCACGAACCGCCGGTGCAAGTTCCACCAAAAACACCGATCCCAAAAAATACCTCCTAAGGTATACATATGTATTATGTAAATAGGTATATACATATATACATATATATACATATATATACATATATATACATATATATACATATATATATACATATATATATATACATATATATACATATATATATACACTATACTACTACATTAAAATATATATACTTTTTTCTCTTCGCGCAAATGCCATGGGTCTAACCCAGGCATTGGAGCATGCTAGGTCTCAGTGTTTTCACGTTTTCACGTGGATTTTCGGAGCCAAATGTGACCATTGTTGTTTCCACGGCCATACCGTGTTTTCATGGCCAATGGCCCCATCGGACCATGGCCCTGGTTTTCGTGACCAAAAGGTCTCCCAGGTAGTTCCTTGTGGGTAAAGACATGCCGATGGCAAGTCCACATTTTTTGAAATATATATAGCAGTCTGTTTAGAGAGGTATGACATTCTTTTCCCATGTTGCGTTGCCAGGCAAATCTTGCGCCCGTCGTGCAGGGCTAATGTCGTATATATGCATGTGGCGTCAGGAATTGGCCCAGAAGAAAAACACTGCTGCAGCCATGCTTGTGCTTGTGATAGCACGCATTCAATTTCGAAGAGTCCCTTTTCTGTGTTTGAGAAGAGCAACAATTTTTGAGAATACACGCGCACACATATATATTGCAGTGCGTGTGGGTAAAACATGCCATTTCCATTGGCCCACCATCCTTTGCAAAAAAAACGGAGAATCATCTCCCACTTCTACTTTTGCAAAGCCACCGCGGAGATTTCCTAAATCTCATCTTGAAAATGCGTGGCCCACGCAGGTCTTTAACATCTTCAACGTGGACGGCTGCAAAGTTTGCAGCGAGGGCATGGCAAATCATGTTGACAAATCAAAGTTACAGGAACATTGAAATTGATCTTTAGCTAAAGATTTTGCCGGATGTTGCCTTCGTTGCGTGCCAACTACGAAATGATTATAGACTTCGCATTCTTTGGATGAGAAGGCTCGCTAAATACATATCACTAAGTAGCTTTGTCACATATATATTTGTTTCAACATCAAATTTTACCCCAAAGTAGTTCCTAAAGTAAAGAATTTTAAAAGTCAATCAGTCAAAAACAAAGACATGTTTCGACAATTGCACAAAATTCTACTTAAGCCCATCAAACTTGCGCAGGAGCATATGGTGTTCTGCTGTCCATGTTTGCTGTATCTTGAAAAGATCCACAAATGCTTGTGAAGTCCAGAATTCAAAGAATGCTAGCACCATTTTTGTTCGTATATGAGTTTCTCACCGCCCCTGAACAGAAGGTATCTTGCTCCCATGGATGTCTTTATTCTGAATACTAGCACCATTTTTTGAATATGTTTTTTCAGGAATCTTGCTTCCACGTGACGGAGCCCATGCACCTGTTTTCCACCATGGAAACCAGCAGTGGGAACCTTTATTTTGGCAACC